CTAGGAGATGTATCCTCAGACATATTGCTATGTGAGATGTCTGAGATTGCTCTGCCTATAGGATTTTTATGGTTTCACGACTTAATATTTAAGTCTTACTCATTTTGAGTATATTCTTGTGTGTGGCGTAAGTTGATGGCCTAGCTTCTTTTTCTTTCTTTTTTTTTTTTTTGCGTGTATCTGCCCAGTTTTCCCAACACCATCACTGTCACCTGGACACTCCTGGCGGGAAGGACTCCCAGTAGCGCCCAGTTCATTATCCCCAGCCTCTGTGGCGTGCGGACACCGCATGAGGTTGCTCCGTGGCATTTCTTCTAGTAAATCAACAGCCCAGCTCCTCCTCCGTCTGGAAGGTGGTCAGGTCACCTCGGCCCTTGAGAAACCGACCCGCCCTCACCACAATTAAACAGGCCGGAGGGCCCTGCCTCCTGGCCCTGACCTTGGGCTGTTTGTTATGCATGCAACCCTCCTCCCATGACGTCGGGCTTTTAAAATGCACCCGCAGCAGCCGCTTTAATTTAAAAAGCCAGGGTTCGATATGTCAAAGCTCAACTATTCTCCGAGAAGGAGCTTTAATGCGTATCTATTATTAATGCGCTATCAAAGCACAGAGCCCCGAGTTGATTCCCACCAGCGAGTCATTAGTCAGAGGCTGCGCGGAGCAGGCCCATGCGGTAACAGACGCATCTCATTTCGGGGAGCCTGGCTATCCGGGGAGAGCAAGGGAAGGAAGAGGCAGGAAGCCTGCCTGCCGTTTCCAGTTAGGAGAGAGAAAACCAGAGTTTCATAAAGCATCGGTCTTATTCCTTCCTGGCCACGGGGGCAAGAGACGCTTTGGAGGAAAGCTTAGGAAAGACAGGCCTTACCACGAGGCATCCGAAAGGGGCCTCGGCGGTGAGGGATGGGGGGCTCTCCAGCCCATTGGGAGCTGTGTGACCCCTTCTAAGCTTTGTGAAGATTTAATGAGACAAATATCCAAAGTGTAGCGCTGTGCTTAGACATAGGATGTTCACGTCCTCGAATGCTAATTCTCTTAGAGGACTGAGGCAAGGAATGACTTAAAGAATAATGAAGCTTGGCCAGTGTGGCTAAATGGTTGAGCATTGACCTATGAACCAGGAGGTCACAGTTCGATTCCTGGTGAGGGCACATGCCCAAGTTGTGGGCTCCGTCCCCAGTGGCAGCGGGGAGGGGGGTGGTGGTTGTGCAGAAGACAGTCAATCAGTGATTCTCATCACTGATGTTTCTATCTCTTCTGTTTCTCCCTCTCCCTTCTTCTCTGAAATAAAAAAAAATATACATATATTAAAAAGAAAAAAAAGGAAAACAATAGATTAAATGCTCTGTTATAAAAGCTGGGGGAGACCCACACTCATTCTGAGCCATTTTCTTTGCACCCGAGCAATGCTGACTAGTATTTGCTGATGGAAGCGGACAGGTGGCCATTCTCCCTCTTGCCTATGATTTCGCTTTCCTCATAAGCTTGCTTGGGGATGCCAGAAAAATGTCAAATAAGTATCAGCTAAAACCAGAGAGAGGACAGGCAACCACAGAACAAGAATACTGTGTGGTATTTGCTAATGCTTTGTCATGCACGGCCTGCTTTTGCATGTTTCTGGATCAAACCGGCGACTCGAAGGTTCCCTCTAATGACAGCTGAGCTTTTCTGAGCACTGTCCCGTGTCCTGCTTCTGTCAGTGCTGCCAACACAGGTCCAGCTCCCTACTCGACCCACACATGGGATGCGGGGGGAGGGTGGCCTGCTTCATGTGGGACCCTGGCCACTCGCAGAGCACAAGGCTGACAACATTGCTGCCGTGTGGGTTTGGAGTCAGCAGCTCACCAGTGCTAGCCGGTCCTCCGAGCACCAGGCCCGGGCACGTCCTGAGTGCTTTTTAATGCCTTCTCCCCATCGGGAGTGGGGGTTGGTGGGTATTCCTGGTGCTGCTCGCCCACGTGCCCGGGTCAGGTGTTGGGACTTCAGCCCAGGTGGAATCCAGCCTCTGGCCCTCAGCTCTGCTTCCGGATTCCGCTGTGCCCCAGAAGCCGTCCTGGCTCAGAGAGTTAACTTTCACTCTCTAGCGTTTGATTTTATTTATTTTTTAAAATAATTTAAAAAAATATATATTTTATTGATTTTTTTACAGAGAGGAAGGGAGAGGGATAGAGAGCTAGAAACGTCGATGAGAGAGAAACATCGACTAGTTGCCTCTTGCACCCCCCCCCCCACCGGGGATGTGCCCGCAACCAATGTACATGCCCTTGACCGGAATCGAACCTGGGACCTTTCAGTCTGCAGGCTGATGCTCTGTCCACTGAGCCAAACCGGTTTCGGCACTAGCGTTTGATTTTAAATGTTAAAAGCGACGTGCAGTTAGCGTTTCCTAGCATTTCAACCATCCCCCTGCTGTCCCACTTGCCACGTCTGGTCTCCTCTCCCCCGTGCCAACCACTCCGCAGGACACTTTCAGGATTATTTCCTCTCTTATCAGACGCTCCTTGTTAACCGCCCCGTGCCATTCTCCTCTCGGCTTTTTGCCTTCTGAAAAGTCAGCTTATATTCCTAGTTTGTTGGCAGAAGTGTTCAGTAGAAACAGTCCAATGTCAACTTGAAGTGACCCTAAGAGAAAGAGGCTTCACTGGTTTCTAAAATGAATCCAGTTCTTCCCTCTCTGGGACCCACTGGCATGAGTTTCTGCCTGAAGGAGACCTACTTGGAGTCCGAAGCTCCAGGCTGATGAATTTTTCAAGGTCCCAGGACCGCAGGTGTTATCTGACAGCTCATCTGTGACTCTTACCTTAATGCACACGGAGAATGAACAGCCAGCTCTTCCTGGCCAAGGACACGGGGTTCGATGCGCTTTTCACAGCTAACTCTATGGACTCAAGAATCAAGTGGTGCCCGGCTGGTGTGGCTCAGTGGTTGGGCGTTGACCTATGTATGAACCAGGAGGTCATGGTTTGATTCCGTGGTCGGGGCACATGCTCGGGTTGCAGGCTCCATCCCCAGTGGGGGGCGTGCAGCAGGCACCCGATCAGTGATTCTCTCTCATCATTCATGTTTCTCTCTCTCTCTAGTCTCTCTTCCTTCCTCTCTGAAATCAATGAGGAAAACATGTCTTTTTAAAAGGAGAATCCAGTGTTTTCTGAACCATGGGAAGAGAGCTTTGCTTCCAGATTCCCATCTTGTCTCTGCTCCCACTCCGTGAGGGAGGAGACTCTGATGTGTCAGCAGCAGCAGCAGCAGCAGCAGCAGCACACAGTGCCTCTGCGGAGGGGCTGAGCTGCTCAGCATGCACGGGCGTCCTCTCCTGCAGAGAGAGGTCACCTGCAGCCCGGAGCGGGGAGATCCCAGGTGGCACCGATGCGCGATTGCATTTGCAGCACGCGCTCCCGTTCAGCCCACGGGGCGGAGGGCTGACTTCTGACCCCGCTGCCCCCCTGCCCGCTGCTCCGAGCGCCTTGGCACATGTTTTTTCATGAGGCTCCTCCCGGGCCCTCGGAGCCTGCTGCCCGGCTGCCCGCCGGCGCTCCGCTTCCTTAGGCCGAGGCTCCGCGGGGCTGGGAGCTGCCGGGGCTGTGAGAGGGGCCATCCCAGCTCATCGGTGTCTCAAGCTGTCCCTGCAGCCCCCCAAATTGCCGTGACACCCCAGAGAGCATCGTTTTGGCTCTCTTAAGGGTAGCTCTGATTTGTTCCCATATGCAACGGACCCTTTTCTAATTTTTCTGCCTTGGTCTGGGAGCTGGATAAACTGCGAAGATGTAAAAAGTCCTCTAGAGACGGCCAGACTTAGCGGTTTCAATGGACCTACTGGTCACACAGGGGAAGGATATGAAGGTGAAACTGCCTGGAGCTGTAGGTTTGGTGGCGGGAAGCACAGACCGGGGGCTGGAGGCCTTGGCCCTGCCATTTTCTTTGCCTTCACAGAAGCAACTGTGTCCTAGGTCGGAAACGAGTGACATCATTAGTACCCCCAGCCTTGATTGGCATGAAGTAATGATCAAACAAAATAAAGATCAGCGTGTGTTTGTCACCGTGTCCATAAAAAGAAAAATGCCCTGTGTCAGTTGGCATTAGGCTTAGTGTATTTTTGTGTATGGGTAAATGAAATATAAAACAGCCTGGCCAGTGTGGCTCAGAGATTGAGTATCAACTCATGAACAAGGAGGTCACGGTTCGATTCCCAGTCAGGCCACATGCCTGGGTTGTGGGCTCGATCCTCGGTGGAGGGCGGGCAGGAGGCGGCCGATCGATGGCTCTCTCTCATCATTGATGGTTCTGTCTCTCTCTTCCTGTCCTTTCCTCTCTGAAATCAATAAAAATATATTAAAAATAACATAAATGATAGCATTTGTTTAGCTTTACCTGGATAGTAAGGAAAGTGAATTGTTTGCGGAGGAGGAAGCTTTTTGTTTTGTTTGTGTGTTTGGTTAAGCCTGCACTAGCTGCCTTCCTTCCTCACTGAGCTGCTTGGCTGCCCTTGGGGGAGTTGTTAGTGGTCAGACTGGCACCTTGTTCCAAACGTTTCATGAAATGATTTTGTTCACTTTTATAGACCCTCACAGCAGCCGCGTACCCGTGCGGAGGTGGGCTCAGTGGAGGGACCCTCTTCCCCGCCCTGCCCCCTCCAGCTAGCTCATAGCTCAGGGCTGTGGCCAGAGGCAAGAAATGACTGTTAGGCTTGTTTTGTGTTTTCCCCGAAAGGTTGGCTTCTGTGGCTATTCTGGAAAGTTCTCTGGGAACACTTGATTCTAAGGAGGATAGGTCCCTTAACGCCTCACAGGCTGCTGGCTCCGACACAGTGAGATTTCAGTGCATGTGTTAAGGCAAACAACACCCATGGCTCTTAGAAACATTGCTGTAGGGATATAGGAATAGCTTTTTTGCTCGAATCAGATCTCCACCCCTTGGGATGGTGATGAACTCACGTTTCCGATGACTGGACTGCTCCTTCCCTGTGAGACTTTCTTTAGGAAGATCCTTCTCTCCCTTCTTCTAGATCCAACATCAGGCCAGACCACGCCGACTCCAATTTCCACGAGTTTAAGATGCACACCTTCAGCCGGGTGACCTCCTGCAAGGCCTGCCAGATGCTGCTCAGGTGAGCTCCGCGCGGCCGGGCCCAGCCTCAGGGAGCCGGTCTTACTGCTGAGCGCGGCAGGCCCCTGACGCCCTAGCCCAATGTTCCCGGGGGAAGGGGGATGGAGATCTTATCTTTTTAAAAATATATATATTTTATTGATTTTTCACAGAGAGGAAGGGAGAGAGATAGAGAGCTAGAAACGTCGATGAGAGAGAAACATCGACCAGCTGCCTCTTGCACACCCCCTACCGGGGATGTGCCCGCAACCCAGGTACATGCCCTTGACCGGAATCAAACTCGGGACCTTTCAGTCTGCAGACCGACGCTCTACCACTGAGCCAAACCGGTTTTATCATGGGGATCTTATCTTAACACTGTGCACCCCACAGAGCCCTCCTGGGCCTTGAACTTGGGGTCCCCCAGGCCCTGGGCGGTCCCCTGCCTCGGCTTCGGCACACAGCACTGTGCTCCCCTGTTTTTCTCGCACTAATGATTGCATCAAGGCCGAGCTTGGCGCCTGCTCACCCTTCTGTCTCCCGCTTCTTCTTGCAGAGGGACCTTTTACCAGGGCTACCTATGCTTCAAGTGTGGCGCCAGGGCTCACAAAGAATGTCTGGGAAGAGTCGACAACTGTGGCCGAATGAATTCTGCGGGTAAGTCATGTTTCTAAATCTCGGGGTGATTCTGCTTCTCATTGGGACACAGAACTTGCTGACTGTAATTCAGGCCCCATTCACACGTGGGATGTGTTTATAGTAGCATCTTTACTTTGACACTCACAGGTTAGACTGCACATGTGTCAAACACAAGGCCCGCGGGCCAAATCCGTCCCGCCAGGCCTTGCAATGTGGCCCGCACCGCGCTGTCATCACTGCACTCCGCTGCGTTTCCATCACAATGACAGTTTATGACTGTTCAGTAAACCATTCGGCCCGCGATTTAGGCTGGATTTTAGATTTTGGCCCCTTCTCTGATTGAGTTCGACACCCCTAGGTTAGCGGATTGTTGAAAGTCATGTGACTTCTCTACACACGTGGCAGGCAGCGGGTTCAGTTTCCAGAGGAGTTAGGGCGGTTTCGTGTCCCCCATTTCACTCACCCCAACCCTAATCTCACTCAGGCTGGACCCATACCACCCAGACAGACATGTGGGGTAACAAAAACAAAACAAAAAGTTATTCTTCATTTCTGTCTTCAGGTCCTGAATTCCTCCCTTATTTTCTTAAAATACTCAGCTCAGAAATGCTAATGACTCCAGCAGTAAGCATCACGCAGAAAACTCACGAGTTAACGAATGGAATACATTGTCATTTTCCAGCATGGAACAAAGAGCAATATTCTTTGGATTTTGTGTAAATATTTCCCCCTGGTTTTTTAAAAATAGCACCCCACGATTGTCTCACGAACCCGTCGCTAGCCGTCGGCCATCGCACATTCAGGAGCCTTCCGCCTCTCCTCCTGGGCCCGCTCTTTCTTCTCTTTCTTTCCTGGCCTCTTTATTCTTTCCCTTTCTTCTCCTCTCTCTTTGTCCTGTTCCCCCGAGTTTCTCTGTCTGAGTTTTATCAATAAGACCTTTCAAAATCAGAGAAACTTTTTGAAGAGAAGAAAGGGATCTTGAACAGCTTGAGCTCAAAAGGCAGCCATGTCAACCTTTGATTTTCCCAAAGGGAAAGGTGGACATTGAATTATTTTGGATAATGCGAAGAAGAGGGAATGTGAAGAAGAGAATAATAGCTCGTTTCAGGGCTGGCTTCAGAAACCGGGCAATGTGGGAAACGGGCGAGTCCTATTAGAGGGCTGAGATCACAGCACACGGCTCTCCGGCTCCTTCGGCGGACACCCGGCCAGGCCAGGGCCCCGGGAGCCGCTCCAGGGCCGGAGCGGGGCAGCTGCTGGGAGGTCTGCCACTGGCTGAGCATGTGCACGGTGCCTGCCCCGGGGGCCTCTGTGTGTGGCGCCAGGGCACATACAGGATGTCTGGGCTCGGTCAGGGCGCTTCTGCACCTCACTCGAGCTCTGTCAGGTGAAGGCGACAAGATTAGCATCCACTCCTATGTCTGAAGGTCAACAGTAGACTACAGTCCGGCCTCCGCTGCCCGGTGCTGGTCTGATGTGAATTGTTCTCCCGTTAGTTTCTGTGTGGGTTTTATGTATTTGCCAAAGTTAGCCTGTGTTGTGGCAACTAAATGACCCCAGTTCCAATGGCTTTAACTCATCCCTGTTTATTTTACACACACACACACACACACACACACACACACACACACACACACACGGTGCTGCGGCCCTGGCCCTCCGGGACAGCTCCATTCCAGCTCATGGCTCAGGGATCCACACCAGTTCCCTCTTGTGACTCTGCCTCTTCCACACTCGGCCTCCAGGGTTGCTGCTCTTAAGCCTCAGGGATTGTACAATAAGTGAGCAATGCCATTTTGTTTGCTCACAGCCCATTGGGTAAAACTGGTCATGTGACCTCAACTGAATGACAAGGGCCGCTGGGCATTGTGGTGGAACTCACGGCCTGTGTGTGGTGAGCCATCCTCTCTGACGCTTTTCATTTCCTCTGGTCGATTACATGCTCCTTCACTACGGGAGTGTGTTCCTCATGTGTATCTCCCACTCAGTACCAAGCCCAAGGTTAGGATGCATAAGACCAAGTAGTTGGTCCTTTCCCCTCCAAGAGGAATGTTTCCGCCCCACTGCAATCCTTCATCTGTTGGACGTGGCTCATTACCAACCTTCCAGCATTGGAAGTAGCTGAGTCACCTGTTTTTGTGGATGTTAAGCCTTCTCTGAATGTTAAGTCTTCCCAGGGCTCAGAAACCCTTCATACTTCATGCTCCGTATCCCTTAAATCTACCCAGTCTTCATTCATCCTTGAAGTAATAATTATTTGGCAAAAAATGCCCCGCATTTCTGAGTGAAGGAAGGAATGGTTCTCATGAATATTCCACTCCGACAGATTACGAGCTCCAGTACAAGGGAATTATGGGAAAGGCGTTTTGATAAAGGCTGGCTGTTTATAAGACCCACTGCGCAGCTTGGAAACAGATTGGAAGGTTGGGGGTCAGTTTGTGTCTTCACATCTGGAACCTTGCAGGGGTGTAACGAGCAGGCCGTCCCACCCGACCCTCTGCATCACCGAACTTGAGCGGACGCCTCCCGCTCGCCATGGCAACCTCAGCGGTCAACGCGCAGGGACTTGGAGGTGGCTGCCAGCACTTCCATTTGCCCGTTTGGGTCCGTGGCATGATACAGTGATAATTATTAAAGGGAACTGGGGTCTGTTACATGGTTGGATTCCTCTTAGGGTCCGGAAAAGACTTGAACTCAAAGCCTCTTGCCAAGTATTGCTTATTGTTTTCCAAGATTTTGCTGTAGATCTGAGTGGTGAGCACAGGAGCCACACAATTTCCTCCAGAACTGGTTCAGCCCTCACTGTCTTCCCGAGTTACTGCTGCCCAGAAATGGCCTGTTTAGCCACTAGTAATGACTTGTCTGTGCCCCCCTTGGAGACCAGTGATAGTACTGGGTGTTGATTTGCTTGGTTTTAAGAAATAGAACTTCAGACGAGAGACCAAGCAGATTGCATCGTAATACTCACATCGGGAGCCACTCGTATGGGATGGACACCTATAATAGGGCCAGATTTTTGTTTAAGCAAATGAATCATGGGACGTGAGTGCACAGCCTCGGTGGAAACCATTTCTCTCTCACACCTGCCCGCAGCGCCCCGGGCTGGCTGCAGGTTGGAGCCCCGCTCGCCCCGCCCTTAGCTGCACCCCGGCTCTGAGCCGCACGAGCTAGTTGGGGCCTGATGAGAGAACCAGAGGTCTGAACGCCCCTCGGGCCCGTGAGTCACCACCTGGAAAGGTGCTTGAAAGGCCAAGAACATTTTACAGTTTGATCAACAGGAGCCCGACAAGTAGGCTGCAGGGGAAAGGTGCGTTGAGGATGAAAGACTTTCGGATAACGTTGGAGAATTGACTTGTTATCCTAAGGCAGCTTCCAGGAGAAAGAGACAGGGGGCCGTGTCTTCAGATCTCACCCAGCAGCCATCCCAGCAGGCCGGAGGTAGACTCAGTGATGATTGGCCCTCGCTCGGGGTGTTGGGCCTGACGTGGGACCGTGCCCCAGAGCCATGTAGGGGTCTGGGCGCCCGTGTTGGCATTTGGGTGCATGGCAGGAGGTAAAGGACGGCACAGCAGGCCAGAGAGTGGAGCCGCGACTCCCTAACAGGGGTCCTCAAACTTTTTAAAGTGGGGGCCAGATCACCGTCCCTCAGAGAGCTGGAGGGCCGGACTATATGAACTACTAATTCCTACTGTAACACCTCGGCTGCGCTCACTGCCCAAAAAACCTGGCGGGCCGGATCAGACTCCTCTGTGGGTCGCATGTGGCCCGAGGGTCGTAGTTTGAAGACGCCTCCTAGCACCTCATCTGGGAGCTCCTTCCCGGCCAGCGGGCACTCAGACCCGGGAACAGCCTTGCCGCTGGGCCCCCCCTCTTCTCCCTGTTATTTTAGTCGAAGTTAACACGCTGTGGTCAGGATTTAGCTTCTGCCTGTGAATGAGTCAATCTGCTCAGTCATTAGAAATGTGTCAGTACAGGGTCCTCGCTGAGAACTTGTGAACCCAGAACAGATTCTAAGAGTCATTTCCAGCCTGTTGGCTTTGGCCGTGCTCTCAGAAAATGCACAGAACCCTCCCACGAAATGATGAGTACAAGGTCTGACTCCCAAGAGCCATTGTTTACGTGATCCTCGCGGCCTGCGCAGGTCAGAGTGTGAGCGGCCTCCCGCCAGGGCCCGGGGGGCGGGGGGTGGGGAATGGGCCTCTTTCTCGGGGGGCAGAGTGCAGGGGAGGGTGGGGGCTGCGAGGACAGGACAGGGAGTGGCGGCCAGGGCCAGGGTCAGCCCCAGTGCAGGACCCTGGCCCTGGCCTTGGCCTGGCCCCCAGCCCAGAGCCCCTCTTCCATTTTCCTCTGCGGGTCACACGCGGAGGCCCCTGGAGAGCAGTGCCTAGCGCATCCCGGGAGGATGATAAGGAAAGCGGGTCCTCGAAGTGGGGGCGGCAGGAAGCGGGAGGAGCGAGGGAGGAGCAGTGTGTGGGGTGGCTCCCCGAGTCCGGTCTGTCCCCACTTGTGGCTGCCTGGACCTCACACCCTTTTTCTTCACTTTCATTTCAAAGAGAGGAAGGAAGACAAGGATAGAAACATCCAGGATGAGAATCATGGATCAGCTGCCTCCAGCACACCCCACACCCTGGGGATCGAGCCCTCAACCCGGGCATGTGCCCTGATTGGCACTCACACCGTGACCTCCCGGTTTATGGGTGAAGGCTCAGCCACGGAGCCATGCCAGCCGGGCCTCACACCCTCTTGACTTCCGTGAGAGGCTCCCTCATGCAGGCGACTGGCCAGGATGCAGAGAGCTTAAATAAGGATCTTTTTCCTGGACCCATTTTCAGGGTAAAGAGGTGCACACACAGCAACCTGCCACCTGGGAGACCATGGTCTCTTCCCGAGGCGCTCCCAGATGCCTGCTGGGACGTGGTGGGTTTAAAAAATTATATATAGTTTACTGATTTTTTACAGAGAGGAAGAGAGAGGAATAGAGAGTTAGAAACATTGATGAGGGAGAAGCATTGATCAGCTGCCTCCGGCACACCCCCTACTGGGGATGTGCCCGCAACCAAGGTACATGACCTTGACCGGAATCGAACCCGGGACCTTTCAGTTCGTAGGCCGATGCTCTATCCACTGAGCCAAACCGGTTTTGACGTACAGGTACATTTAATGCACATTGTAAAGGACCTGCTTCCCCATGACATGAGAACACCCCTGAGCAGAGCCAGGAGCAAAAGGCTCCTCTGGGATGGACACGAAGGCCACGCTTCTGTAGGAGCAGGCCTGGGGTGTGTGTGTGTGTGTGTGTGTGGGTTTTCCGACGGCAGAGGTCGTCTGGAAGTATGGAGCTCTACTCAGTCTCCGGGGCAGGCAGGCAGCCTCGGACTCCCCTCCCGCTGGCTCGCTCTGCCTCCCTCGTCAGAGGGGAAAGGAGCTCAGAGCTGTCGGGGCAGATGGGTCTTTTTGGTCGAACCAGTGAGGCAGGTATTACCACTGCTGTTAGGACCCGAGGTCACCTCGCCCTGGGCCCAGCACCCAGCCAGACCCTCTCCCCAGCCAGCCTCTCCCGGCCCGCCCTCTGCAGCCGGCCTGTGTCTAGACTAGAGGGAGGCCGAGGAGTGGAGTTGCTTCCCGCCCAGGAACCCTGGGCAGAGGCCTCCCCCCCCCCCCCCTGACCGCTGCCCATGAAGCCGGGGTGATGGGCTGGAAAGCACGTCCAGGAATGCAGACGCAGCTTTTCTCAGAAAGGTGACTTTTCGCCCGTGGGTTTTCTTTCCACGAATCAGGAGCAGCCAGTCCTTCAAATGAAAACAAAACCGGAGCAAACCTCCCGCTCCCTGCCCCAGGCGGTCACTCTGTGTGCACAACTGTGGCCGCTGGGCGGGCTCTGAAGGACGGGGCACCCCTGACCTCTGCTCCGGGGGCTTCCCCCTTCGCCCTGGCTTCCCCCTCGGTGTCTTTTTCTCTTCCCAGTCCTCCTTTAGAGGATCGTGTCGGGTGGGAAAAGCACAGGCAGAGGCGAGGACGGCGAGGTGTCTGCCTTTGCAGCAGAGGCGTTGGGACCTGCCCGGGCGCCCCTGGGGGTGGGGGAAGGAGCGAACAGCCCCACCGGCCTCCCTGTGCAGCCGGAGTCTCTGCTTCCCTTTGCTCTCCGCTCACCTGAAGCCCGGGCCCTGCGTACCTGCGGGTCGTTTTCAGGAACCAACATGGAGCGGACGCCATGGCTTTATACATAGGCAGGTCCCCTGCGGGGGAGAGGACAAGCCGATCAGAATCCAGCCCTCTGTTTTTTTTTATTTTTATTTATTTCCCTCTTTAAAGTGAAATTCGTTCCCCACCCCCTTGAAATGAAAAGTACATGTTGCAGCCACTTAATGCAAAAAAGAATGACACTCAGCATTGACCTGTGTTCAGTGTGCAATGCTTGCGAATAGCATAGCGCCTTTGTCACTTGGTGTGTGGAGCTTCTTAAAACCAGGCGTGTTGAAAGTTCCCACCCCGCTTTCTCTCCGCACGTAAATTTAGTGCGAGCCGCCGCTTCCAGGAGCTTTATGGGGCTGGACTGACATTGCTCCACAAGCAGTTGAAAAAGCCATGCGTAATGAGTCACCCTCCCGGCAGCCAATAGGGCCGGGGCACCGGTGTTGCAAAAACAATCCCCAGCCCAGCCCGAGGGACCCTGGAAAGTGATTGCAGGTACCGGGCAGGCTGCTGACCACACGGGACCCTGTGCACTGACAATGCCCATCTTTACCTTTCTTTCAGAACCCGGGACGCTGAAGGCGCCAGAGGTAAGAGGAACCTTTCCGCCTTCCCAGGTCACGTTTGCATGTGGGGTCGCTTGCTAACAGGCGTGGTGAGCTTTTTGGCCTGTTACGTGTGCCTCTGAGAGTGGAAGGCAACAGCCAGGGAGCAAGCCAGAGCGTGTGAGTGAAACTCGGGGTTCAGTCAGAGGTGTGTTCACAGTCACCCGCGGGAGGTCTCGTTGGAGGGAAAATGTGGATGGTTAGCTTAAGTCTGGTGTGAACTGGAGCTTGCAGAATCTTACTGGTCCAGGTGAATTTCAATGCTGTGGCATTAATGGGTGGGTGCATTCCCCGCCACGGAATGCCACAGCCCCGGAGGTTTAGGACAGGCAGTGCCCCCGGAGGCATTGCCTTGGCAGGAGGAGGCTGGCCCTGTCTGTACAGAAGGAAGGTGGCCTCCTGCCGGGTGTTCCCTGGCACGGAGGTTCCAGCGTTGGCCACTAGGGATGTGCTTGGACATTGGAGCACAGACATGGTTCATATGGATCCAGTCCAGATCTGGGAACCGTTTCCTTTGGGTTTAATGCACCCTCACGTTGGATGGCTTAGCACTGTGATCCCTGCCATCCCTTGGAATGAAGCCATTAAAAAAAAAAAAAAAAAAAAAAAAGGAAGAAAGATTGAAAAACATGGCCAGTTCCAGGCAGCCATGGCCGTGGCCTTCAACCCAAAGTAACCCATTTCTTACCCGACCTCCCCCAAATAAGGTCCTAGCAAAGGAAATTAAATAGGAACTGTGTGTGAGGGGATGTGAACCTGAAATATATGATTGGAGAATTTCAGAATAAAAGAATGACAGAAACATGCCATGCCAGATTATTTTAACACAGTTGCACCTCATTAGGAGTGCTGTCATAGTCGTATGCATTTAATAGGCTGGTGTTCATATGGTTGGTAAAAATAATGAAAAGCACCGCAAGATATCCATAGGAGGTAAGCTGTTTTCTGCTTTTCTTTTTTTGCAAAAGCTCGACCTTTTTTTTCATCCAGGATAACAAGAGTGTGATGTGGACGTTCAGGTGTGCCTCTTCCATGTTCACACGGTATTTTAGACTCTAGATGGAGGGGATGGGTTGAACAAGATAATACTGGTTCTGACATGAGCCACACGGGGTGCCCCAGGGGAAAACGAGTTACTGAGGAATTTAGTGTGTAGCCGACAGGCGAGATTGCCATCAGGACCGTGAGGATTGCTCCAGAGGCGCCATGCAGACCTAGGAGGTTGCCCCCTTCCCCCCCTCGCAGGCTGGTGCCAAGGCTGTCGGTACAGGTTTTGAAACCTTGAAGACCCTGGGCTTCCTTTCAGGGCTACTTTACCTCGATCCTGTTGGATACAGACGTTACTTTTCTTTCTCTGGGAAGGTCATTCCACTTGATTCAAGTTATGCCAAGAAAGGAAGTGTGCAGAGGAGAAGTGGTTCATAGTTTTCACAGGCTGCTAAACAGCTCTCTCTGGGCATTTGTTTGTTTGTTTGTTTTTGGTGTGTGTGTGTGTGTGTGTGTGTTCTTAAAAGTTACACATGAGGCTATCCTGAAAGGAATTCATGTTCATGTTGAGTTTTTGAAAATGTAGCGTCAGTGTTTTGGCAACTTGCTTATTAACTTTTGAATATAATACGAGCAATTTTTATTTCCTGTGTGAATATACTAGTCCCATCTCTACTTTGGATGGGTAATTACAGCAAGCTCTTATACTGGCTCATTTCTCTGGGAACTTGAGCTCAATTTAAGGGAGAATCGGATGGTAGGAAGTGTCTTTCACTCCGTCCTCCCCACGCTCACCCCTTTCCCCCCCCCACCGACTGCTCCTGAACGGAAGGATGAAGGCCTCTGTGAGCTCTGGGGCGCTTATTGCTTCCCCCCTCATGAAGTTCTCCTTTTCCTCCATGGACTTGCTTGTAGTCCTATGTGGTTTCCCTTTCCAGAGCCACGATCACACTGTCTACTGTTCATGTTCTCCCTCTTTGTCAAGGTGGGCCGGGTTCCAGTAGCCACAGGCCCCCTGGGCCTCCTCAGCCTCCCCTGGGACGTGCACCTCACGTCTCATTCCAGCATGGGCTCCAGAGGCCACCTCAGCCCCAGGAAGCGAGGCCGTCATTGCATACCTGCTTCACACTCACCTGCTTTCAATCTGTTCCCTCACGCAGGGCGTTCTACCTTCAACACTGAGGGCGGAACCAAAGCCAGTTCCTTAGAGCAAATGAACCCGTGCTTGTTTTGTTGGTAAAACCAACAGAATTAGGTGTGTCCAAAAAGAGGCAAGAAGAGAGAGTCTTAGAGGATCAAATTATTTCTTTAGAGAGAGAGACAAGGTAAAAGGTGATGCATCAAGAAATAAAAGGAGGTTCTTTGGTTGTTGTATCTCCCCCGCCCCTCCCAGGTAGATGGAAGGGGATGGAGGAGGCTCTGAAGGCGGCCCCTCCTGATCCCCTGGGGCCTTACCGAGCTCCGAGCCCACCAGGCCCTGCTGGGGACAAGGTCAACACCAGTGCGGTGCCAGGCTTTTAAGAATGCAGGCAGGGAGTGGAGTGTGCTTACATATGCTCTGCTAAACATTTCCCAACAAAAGACTTTTTAGGTGCTTTTCAAGTATAATAAATCTCAGCCTCTCTAAATGCACTTATTCTGAGCTGAAATTTCCTCTTTTTTTTTTTTTTTTTTTTTTTTTAAATTGGTCAGATCTGTTCTATTTCCCACTCTCGCTGTAGAGAAGTTTCTGTTCTCAAGGTCAGTGGTTTTTCAGTGATTTTCTGGAAGAAGAACCTAAAACCTAAGCAGTAGGGCAGTAAGTTTAGCAGAAGAATGTGTCCTTTATATGAATTTAAACATTCCAAACACCATTAAGTTAATAAGGACAATAATAATAATAATAATAATAAGCTTTCACTTAATAATCCTTGCTATGTGTCAGGAACTGTTCCAAGCACTTAACATAAATTAACTCACTTAATTTTCACCACACATGCTATGAAGCAGGCACTATTATTACCCTCCATGGAGGTACAATCCCCTTTGGAGATTAGGGATCCAGACAGGCACCAAGACGTTAACTAACTCATGATCTAACGGGTGGCTGGTGGTCTGAATTTGAACTTGAGCAGTCTGATTCTACAATTCATACTCTTAAAAATTGCCCTGTGTTCCAAATTTTCATCCTAATTTCTAAGGTAACGTGGAGTTACTCTTGAAATCGAATGTTCTTTTTCACATTCTAAGTGGCTAGTTTTTCAATAGTACTGGTTTAGGGATTCTAGAAGGAAGGCACAAAGGTTGAATTCCTTTTTTGTCTTCCAAGCCCTTTGAGAGTAGATGGTGTGAGAGCAGTAGGAAGACAGCTCCTGTTCTGCATGAAGAAGGAGGAGGTCTATGCAGGAAGTCACTGCCAACAAAATATCCATCGTTATAATGAACAACGAAATATCCATCATTATATAGAAAATATTGTCAGTTGAGCTCACTTACAGAGAGAACTCCAAAATGTTTAACATAAAATTTCAGGCAGAGAAGTGTCTTTCTTTTTGAAAGCAGCTTTCTTCCAAATGATTGCATGTGAACCTGTGACTCACCAAGCTTCTCCTCTGTGCCTGGTTGACCAGATGGCCAGGACTACACTGACTTCTCACGCCCAGTGGCTCTCTCCCTGACTCATCTGTCCAGTACAGATATCCATCTCATTGGCCCGGGCTTAAGTGCTGATGGTCACGATCCCATGGGCCTTTTCACAAACCCATTCTGAAAAAGTTATATGTAAAAGATTTCTCCAATCCGCGTTCCCCTGAGGACTCTGAATGTATGCTTACCATGGCATGGAGGCCCCCCTGGCATCTGTGGGGGCCCATTTCCCCCATTTAACTCATGAAAGGAAACAACAGGAGGAACCCAAGGAGAAACCCATGGCTGGTGTGTGCTGAGCAAAGCTGGGTGTGCCCCGAATGGAGCGCAGTCTACGCAGGCACAGTCCCCAGCACCCGGGGGAAGAACTGCAGCTTGAAAATCGAAGGACGTGGCCGTTACAGGCCCAGCCTTTCACCCAGATGTGTAATACAAAGCGAAACCGAGTCCTTCTTAATCCGAGGGGTTACCGTGGTTACTAGGTAGGAACAAGTTCAATATGGAATCGAATTTGTTCCTGTGCACTTTCAAAGCTTTCAGACCTTCCGTTTTGCATCTCATCTGTAATCTTTGCAACGCACAGTTTTTCTTATGGATTCCTTTTCTCTCATCAAAATGGGCTTTTCTGGTTCCCAGGCTGCATGCCTGTTTTGTTTCGTGAAGAATTAAGATATAGCTGACCCTCAGTTAAAATACCATCCTCGTTTAAGTGTTTGCTAAGGTCGGCACGTGAGATCTTTGGAGCTCTATCTTCTCCAGGTGCTGGTCTGTCGGGCCTCAGAAATCGCTGAATTAGCGTTTTGGGGATCACGTTTTTTGCTGGGAGCATGTTCCGACCACACTGGGCTGCCTAGGCTTCGTGCTCATCACTCCTGTAGGCATTCTGACTTCAAAAAAATGAGCGCTAACACCCAGAGGTGGCAAATGGAAGCATCCTTCTTTCCCTCAGTCTTACAAGTATTAACAAAGCCAGTGGAGGGGTGTTCAGGTGGAAACCTTGGAGAAACAAAAAGGTTAAACTATGAAAACAAGCTTTAGAACCCAATGTTTGCATTCAATTTAGTCACACCCTTTCCTGGAACAAGGACACCATTCATTGGCTTTCCAAAGTGTCAGAAAGTAGTACACTTTAAAAACCAATTTATTCAGTTAAATTTTTTGGATTAAACATTTTAAACATACGTTTGAGATAGTAGGATAACAAACCTGTAGATATCCATCATTGAAATGCAACGTAACACTTTTATTTATTTTGAGCAATTTACTTTTTAAGGCTTCACGTTCTATTAGATCCTTCTCAGAGGAGTACACTTCACTAATACACACTCTTCGTTTTGTCTTTCTGACAGAAACGGACCAATGGGCTGCGGAGAAACTCCCGGCAGGTGGACCCAGGTGCGTTTGGGTGCACGTGTCTGATGGTGATGCAGTGAGTGACTAGCAGCGTCTCTGGGGGTGGCGGTAGAAAGTCAGGCGGCGCGTTGGCCTCTGGTCCCCGCAGGTTGGTATGTAATGTGTGACCAGGAGTCAGCATTTCATGTGCCAATCATTCACCCGATGGTGCCAGGGTCCCGTGGTGAGTAACCTTCAGGAACACTCTTTCCCCGATCAGCACCCGAGCCAGTTATTCTCTTTACTGATCAGCCTCAGGGGGCCTGGTTAATGCCAGTGTATCCAGCACACCCCCTCCTTAACCACCCCCCCCCAAACCCCAATCAGGGAAGAAAACCAGCCAGTAAACAGGCTTTAAAATGAGCATTTTCTACTGGGATGGAGGGCTCATAAAATGGATGCTTCGGTACCCTCCCGGTTTGGAAACATGCTTTCCTTCGTCCTGCATGTTAACTCGTTTCCAAATGAAGAGAGAACGGAAGGACTCCGGCTGCAGGGAACACATGGTTGTTTTTCATGTCACATGGTGAGGTCAGCCTCGTCATTATTGTAGGGCAATTACTTCACCGTCCATTAAGCAACGCCTTCCACGGTTTACTTACCCGAGATCAGCCACCTGCGTGGCCACAGTGTGTTGTGGGGGAAAGGCGTTTGTGGCTCAAGGAGCCCAGCTCCATGAACTTGGTAATGAAACCAGGTGGGACATGAAAGGAGAGTCTTGCTGGGACAGAATCCAGATCATGGGTTTGGTTTTCGCCTCATCACCAGTGTTCGCCTCCTTGTCGAGTTTAGTTTTCAAAGCTTTCTAACTTTTAACTGCAGCCACACCCGTGGCAGCCACGCCAGCTTGTGAGCTGTGTGAAAGGATTTATGGGGCTTTGTTGCCTCCGGTTAGAAATTGCCTCACGGACTTGCCGAGATCCGTTCCAGTCGGTTTAACCTCAGAACACAATTGAGGCCATTAAAAAAAAAAAAAAATAGGGGTTCTGGTGGACTCTGAATAGTTTTAACTATCTCAGGATGTTACTACCCTTTCCAGAGGATTCTGCAGTCATATGTCCAGGTTACTTCTGTTTAGGAGGAGCGTATGACTGTGAGCAGAATATTTTCCTTATTTTGTGTGAATTGAAAAAATGTTTCAAAAAATTAACCTTTATAAATGTTATTTTAAAAATATTTTCTCTTCTGGATTTTTCATTTAGTCTCCCCCTCTCCCCCACAGAGAAATGTATTTTTTGTTTGTTTATTCTATTTGTAAGAATATGTTTGACTATTAACAATGTATAGCCTCAAATTTTAGGAGCCCTAAATTTTAAGGCTTAGATGATTTAAAGGGATGTCTAAAGTGAATTCACAGATGATAAATATGACAAAGTGGACTCATCATGAAATAGTTTATCCTCCTCTTTTCTAAAGGTGATGGCTTCGTAGAGGTTATCACTCTTCAGTTATTCCTGTTTGTCAAAAAATTTGTCCAAAGATCAAAGACTTGATGAAGATTAGACTTAGAAATACAAAAGCATATACGTTATGCTTGTAATTTTATATATCTATATGTCTGTCTATCTGAGATCTTTCCAGTAGGTGTAATAAATATATGAGTGTTTTCTCATTGTTTGACTTTTTTAAAAAGAGCAAGTAGTCGATGGCCTTTTGTGTTACAGCTCCTAATGTGATGGCAGCTACTTCTCCCCGAAGGTGGCTTCTGACATCAGCCTTGAATGTGTGTGCTAGAGTCTTTGCTGTCTTTGCTTCTTTCTGTCGCAAGTTGCAAAGCCTTGTTCAGAGCTAACCCTGCTCGCTAACTGCCTTGCTCTGCGTCAGTCACCATGTGACTGCTGCTTGGCATCCCTTCAGCTGTGACTCCCGAGATGTCTAAACGAGGGACCGGCAAACCAAGGGCATTATTTTCTGTGCCAGCCTTTCTTGGACATTCCTTTAAGCTATCGTCAGCTAATTCTGTGGTCTTCTCCAAGAGCGAATAGCCAGACTGCACGCTGGGGCCTCATGGGGGGTGTTGTAGAAAAGAGTGATGAGACAGGTTGGGGCTCAGATGGAACCACTGCACCAGATCGGTTTCAGGGCCGTTTCAAAGTTAAATGGCGGGTCTTCTCTGGGGACCTTTTGTGTGGACAAGAACTTGTTGTGTAGGAGGTGCCTAATACATATTCCCCACTGAGCGGAGGAGGAAGTAGAATCGTTCTGCATGCCTTGGCTCTTGGGCAACATGGAATAATCCAGTTGTAGGAAGCCTGGCTCCGAGCCACATTGCCTGGGCCGGCAACCCACCTTCACTGTTGATTGCAGTTGACCTTAAGCAACTTGTGTCATCTCTCTGCTGTAGTTTCCTCCTTTGTCAAAGGAGACTAACGACAGAACCTTCCTTACAGAGCTGTTGCGAGCATGACAGGAGCTAGTATGTGAAAGTACTGGCAACGGTGCCGCGTATGCAGTCAGTGCTAAAAGGTGACGATTCTTATAGGCGCTTTGAGGTAGAGCCGTGTTTCCCAAACTTTTGACACATGTGTACCCCTTCTATAATTTTCGTAACGCTGAGTACCCCTCGTCCTCATGAGAACGTAGAATTAGGCGCAGCTAAGCACGGTGCAGTGCCTATCCCCACCAAATCTGGTGCAACACGTACCCCCACCAAACTCTTCCCGTACCCCTGGGGGTACGCGTACCACACTTTGGGAAACACTGAGGTAGAGCATATTATTTCATACTGGACGCTCCGGCACGTGTAGGGGAACCAGTAACACTTGCCAGTTATTTCTTTTCAAACAGACCCAGATATCATGCTGCATTTCCATGGAAGCTCGAGGTTACACAATCACAGCATTTTCAGATTGGCCCTTTCTCTCTACTTGTCCTATGGCCTCTGTGGCATTTTTTTTTTTTTTTTTAATAGAGGAACCAGTAACATTGTTGGTCCGGAATTTTGGGTGAAGTTAGTGGTGTTTGTGATTGCAATAAAGAAGAAAAGGAAGGAAAACTGCTCAGTTAAAAAAGTTACAGTGCATTGTTGAGTTCTTTTCAAGTTGAGAAAGATATGAATTGTAGATTTGTAGTGTGTCTCATTAGCACATTTACATTTGCTCTTTATTAATAATGGTGGTTAATCATTATAAACAATATTTGCCAGTGGTTTTGCAGTTTGGTTCCCATTTCCTTGTCTTCTGTGCTAAGACATTTACCAGTTTATGATCTTAGCTGTTTTTTTTGTAAATGTAATAATGTGGTAGATGCAAATGCTGGTCGCTCTTTTGGATTTTTTAAATATAGCGAGGTATTTTCATCAGTTTGTACTTTTCTTCCTGAGACATCAGATGTTAGATTCAGGAAAATACCACTTAGAAGAGACAGATCAATTATTTCAGGAACACGGAGGTGCTGGGCCTTTTTCAAGAACATGAGATCATAAATCTCAAGGAAGTCTGAGTACCGGTATGATATTTTTCACCTAAAGTGGCACTCAAGGTCAGAGCGGCCAATTAAATTTTAACTGAGCTTTAAAAATGTCCTTCTGTCTAAGTGTAGGAGATGCAAGATTGAGTTCGCTTGTGGCACATCTGTATACCAGGAAATGTGTTCTTTTAATGAAATCCATGCCTTTAGACGTTTGCAAAATTACCTTATATTTGCAGGACGCATAGCATCTTGCATTCTAGTCCACGGTCACTAGCGTTTAAAAAATCCCAGCCATTGTTCTGCGTTGGGCTTCCTGGAGATGAGATGAAGCAGAGGAAATAAGTGTGCAGGTCCCTCATCTCCTTCTGATCGTAGGCTATGCATCAGATCGGGGATAACCTTGAACAGCAAACGGACAGATAATGGTTACATTGATAAGTGCTCTTTCTTGGGGTTCATCTTGATTGCGAGGCTACTGGCTTGGAAACACGGTCTCGTTCACAGAGATCTGATGTGTCTCAGCAGAGCCATCCGCACAGGTGGCTGCCTCTGTCAGGCGGAGAGCCTGCGCATGGGACGCGTGAGGGGCTCACAGCTGACCCAGAAGTGGGTTCTGTGTGAAACACTGCGGATGTCTTACTCGATCATCGCATGACGGAGACTGTTTCCCACCGAAGGCATCCCCGTGCCCGCGCCTCGGCCGCAGGGCCGGCTCCCGGAACCCCGCCAAGGACCCATTTGGAGGCCGTTGGCTGGGACAGGCGCTGTGTTTCTAGGAGGAGGGGACGCATCCCACTGTTGCCCACTCCCATGCTGGTGTAGATCATCCATCCAATTAGAGAACTGAGGGAACAGGAGCCGGCAGCATGTTTGGTGGAAGGAAATGGGGAGAAAGGTGCTCCCCCCCCCCCCTCCTTGCTGGAAGTGTCAGGGCGAGAATGTGGGCAAACGAGGGAAGGCAGCCCTTGAGGCATCAAGTTTAAGCCACAACCTGCCTCTGTGACAGGAAAGGAGTAACGAGGAGAGGGAGAGAAGGGAAGCTCTCCTGGATTTTTTGGTCTGTGTCAGGTACTTGCACTGATAGGGGACCCTTTTAACCTCAGAGGCAGCCCTGTGCAGTGGGGTCGCCGAAGGCTATGTAGGGGGTGTCGGGGTTTGTGCCCTGCCCCTCCACTTCCAAGATGTATAATCTCTTGCTCTATCGTCTCTGAAATGAGGGCCGTAGTAGCAGACATACCCCCTCCCATCACTGTGAAGGTTAAATGAGTTAATAGAGCATTTAGCAACAAGGTTTAGTTCGCCCTCCGTGAGTGATGGTTTTATTACTACTTCGTACACACTTCTGTGTTCATTTCCTTTTACTGTATAGCAAGTTACTGTAAACTTAGCAGCTTGAGGCAGCACACACTGATTATCTCCCAGTTTCTGTGGGTCGGAAACCTGGGCGTTGTATAGCTGGGTGCCCTGTTTCTGGGTTTCTCACAAGACCTCACAGAAGGTGTGAGCCAGGGCTGTGTCTCATCCGAAGGCTAAACTGGGGGAAGGATTCACTTCGAAAGTCATGCAAATACTTGTGGGCAGGATTCGGTTCC